GACCCCATTTTTGCGTGTACCCCGACGAGATCTTTGCGCCGTACAACGTAACTCATCGTGCTGATTCCGAATATGTAAAAATCTCAAATACCGCTTCTCTAGAAAAAAATCATCAAATTTTGATATGGATACCACTCTCCCAACGAATTACAGATCTATCGCTTTTGTCAGCTATGTCTAAGAACTTAAAAAGGCTAGTTTATAACAAACTTTATGAAGAATTGAAAAGTATCGTCTTTTAACGTCATTTCAATCAAGTTTCATTCAAGGAGGCTCAGCAGTTAATCAATTAGTAAATTTAGCGCATGAAATAAAGTGAGAACTTAGACCAGAACAAATTTTCAGTGGCAGTATTTCTCAATTTTGCAAAAAGTAATTGATAAAGTTTGGCATGTTGGGCTACTGCATAAATGAAAACAAAAAGACGTCAGTGCTGCACTTTTAAAATGGTTTGACCGCTATCTGTGTGGTCTACCGGTTAGGACATAATGTACAGCTTAATGGAATAAAACTTTAAAATTCAGTTGGTGTAAACTGGCGTTAGACTTATAGCGACTCCCGATACTGTTTGAGGATAGTCGCTCAATAGTTTAGCAATCAATAAAAATTCGTAAACTTGTTTAAATCACTCGTAACATCCTAGTGAACTAAACATCCGACTAGTGCTAAGCTCATCATGTTGAGACTAGATTAAGGCGACGTTCCGAGTTACAGACCTGAACAAACTTGAAATATAGTCTGGCGCTCGTCCAGAAGTATAAATAAAAATGATAACCTGTCTTTGATCCAATTGTTTCAGCTAAGAGCATTAGTAACGACTTGTTCTCAGTTCTTCCACAGGGCCAGCGACAAGACCAATGCCAATAATAATTAATGTGAGTGGCAGTAAAAGTAGCAGAGTGTTGGCAATCGCTAGTAATCAGTTAAAAGTAGAAGAGGTTAATGAGACACCAACTATTCATCGAAAACAATCCCACCGGATAATACGCGTATCAAAATTAGAAGATGTAAATGAGGCAGAAAACAAAAACGATGATGTTCTTCCAAAGCAACCATCGCATCACATAACACGTGTATCAAAGCGCTTATCAACCAAATCCGTAAGAAAGGATATACGTCTAATTATTTGTTGAATAAGTATCTCTCGTTGCAGGATGCATCATTAGCACCATCAGCACAATTAAATGATATAGTTTTACAAGATCCAGATGATTCACACAGTGGTACTGGAACTCCAGTTATCTGGAAACGAAATGTAATATATGTTCTCGTCCTATGAAATGGATAAAATCATCAGCGGCTTAGCTGATCTCAAAAGCAGGGAAGGGTGGGGCGGCTTTTTCGTGAAATTTTTTTCTCAGTTGCGCTATAACGCAAAAAAATAATTTACGCCAGATGAGCGAAAACTTTCTTTCGGACCAGATGGAACTGCCCCCAATATTTACACCCCTGAAAATCATATCACTTTTTACCTTCCTATAGGAATCGAAGCCGAAACGGAATCAGAAACTTAGTTCATCAGCGCAGCAATCGCCATTTCATGAGGTAACCTTGAGAGCAAAATAAAATATAATAATTTCAAATACCATCCATTTTTACTGTAGGAATCGTCTTCTGAACAACAACAACCACCATTGAACGGCAGTCGAAAGACTTCTGTGCTTGAAGTAACCTTGATTTTGAATTTTGTTTGTTGTTCTAGTTATTTTCTTTCTTCTTTAAAGTCAAATTCTCGTACATCAAAATTCTCGATATCGTCCCGGAAACAGCTTGTAAGAAAAAGCAAAATACAGCAACAGACCAAAGAAAAAGATCGTCGATGGTATGTTATTACAATTCACAATATTTGCTTATCGAGTTATACTGACGTTTTTTCTTTAAGCGGAGGTTTACCATTTCCACCTTGTTGCTGTTGTGCTGTTGCTGGTTTATTAGCAGGAGCGCTGATAGCGGCCGTCGTTGCAACACTGCTTACATTGGCAAACCCGGGTATCAAACCAAATCTTATGCTAACTTACCTAAAACAGATGTTTTTTTACAGCTGAGACAACGACGACGACAGCTATCACAATGAATAGTACGTCAATCACTTTGACGACATCGACTTCAACAAGTAAATGCTTTTTAGACGATTCCACTCTGTCAAAAAAACTCATTATTCTTTTAAATAGCTTCAACAACTGCAACATTTACAACGAGTACAACAGGTATGGGAACAACAACTCAGTGATTCTATCTCGAATCTGGTAAAAGGTTAGATAATTAAAAATATTTATGACTAGACGGCGAATAACAACATTTAAGCCAAAGCCCTTGTACCGGAAATTTGACCCTCGCCAAAACTGAGCTACAATTGCCGGTTCTACACTGTATGTACGGAGCACTGAAAGAAACCATTGCAGGACGGAAAACAATTCAAATTTAATTCTGATTCTAAACTGACAATTTTTTTTCCACTACGTTTGGAGGCAGTGAAGTGATCCTAACCGACCCCCTCCTTTTAGTAAAAAAGTGAATATCTTCCGATCGAAAAGTTCGATTGGAGCCGTGGTTTCGTTGAAATGCAGGAAGTAAGTTTATTTTCCAGCTCATTCAATTACGTGTGTGCTCCGAATGCACAGTGTGCATTTTTTGCATAGCATGCGGTCATGTAACTTTCGTGCTCAAAAACGGGTTCCTTTTGCTCAAAAGTGGCTGTATATTACTTCAAAAACCACCTTTAAGAAAAAAAAGCATTTTTTGAAAAAAAATTTTTTTCGACGAAGGACCCTCACCTACATTTTTTCGAGAAAATGTTTTTGTTAGAAAATATATTGTATCATACATCAACCGATGCAGTTTCACACGCTGATTCCGAATATGCCATTAGTTTTCAATGGAATTGCTTTGGTGTCTGAAAAAGAGGAATCGAGCGTGAAAATCAAGGCTTTTAGAAAAAAAATAGAAAAGGTTTTTACCAATCGGTAGCGCACTTGATGCTGATTCCGAATATATGTTTGTTTGCCCAATAGCTATGTTTGATTTTTTAAAATTTTTGCGTATAATCCGAGTTTCCGATGGACACGGGTTTTTTGGTGTGTTTTTGTGTATAGGATTTTCCCAGGTTAAATAAGTTGTAGACATAAAAATTTTTGCCATTAAATAGAGCATGTTTTAAAGTATATTAATCATCCTTAAACTTGCTGAAAAATCAACTTTCGTGTTTTTATCGAAACCCGGCCTGGATGCACACTGTGGAATGCCCGCATGAGTGAAAATGAATCTTATTTGCTGTTTTCAAAATGTGCCGTTACTGGGTATCGGAGGATCTGACTTCAACAGTGAATTTGAGAAACGGCACGTTTATTATGGAATTTTATATTTCTATATCTATCACGATTTCATAAATGAACCCACCTACCTCAAATTCCCTCTACAAACAGGCTCTAAGACTGCAGCTTTCCTCTGACGGAAAAAATAGGAGCAGGCGGTTGTATATACAACACAATCAATAGGCGGATAATGACTTTAGCATCAACCACATCTACAACGTCCACTACTGCGACTACAGCAACAAGTACTACAACCACTAGTACAACCAGTACGACAACAACAGCCCAACCTTGTAGTTCTGTATGTATCAATACAACCACCTCCACAGCTGGATCACTAATGGCCCTATATCTATTTGATTCAAATGCAAATGACTATACAAACACTTACAACGGCACAGAAGAAAGTTCTCCTACATATGTTACGGGTTACGTTGACAGTGCTATCAATCTCGTTTCCTCATCTCAGCAATCTGTGACATTGCCATTATCATTAGCCTTAAATAACCGAAGTATGACCGTTGGATGTTGGCTCAAATTACAATCACCACTTTATATTACATCTACAGCTACCGAAGTTAGCATTATTAGTCAATGTCCATCAATGTCTTATGAGCAATGTCTATTCTATACGATACGTTCGAATGTATTATATCAAGCATTTTATCTTGATGATAAAGCAGGAACAACATCAATGTCAGGACTTCTCGGACAATGGATCCATGTGGCTTTTACTTTTGACTTAACAACGCTTTTAAGACAGATATATATAAATGGAATAGCTGAACCAACAGGTTTCACATATGGTTTAAATGGAATGTTACAAGGTGGGTCGTTTCTTGGAACAGGTGCACCTGCAACTATTGGAAGAAATATGCTACTAAGTGCACCAACAAATTATTTGAATGCATATGTTGATCATTTTTCGATAAGTAATCGTGCTAAGAGCGCATGTGAGGTTTTGAATGACGCAACATTAGTTGCATATTTTTCGTTTGATTCTGGATCGCTTGTGGATAGCGGTCCAAATATGCTAGTGGGAACTGCTGTCGGACAGACAATGATCAGTGGAGAGAGAAATCAAGCCTTATCATTTACGGGTGGAACTAACTCATATTTTCAAGTTAGCGGACTTACCGCAATTGGAACTGTGAGTTCGTCGTTTTCAATTGGACTATGGATTAATGCAAATGTTTTATATGGTACTATTGTGCATGTATCGCGTTATGCATCAGGTAAGTTTAAAATAATCGAGAATTGTGAACTATACGAGAAATGTGTATAATGTGCGGGCTTTTCTTTTAGGGGCAGGTGGTTGGTGTCTGCCATTCCTTGGCTTCACTTCATCACAACAATTGGCTGCACAAATATGGGATGGTTTATTAGTTCAAAGTGCACTTGGTCCGATTCTTAAGGTGATGTACTAATATTACGTAACCCTATTTCACTTAAAGTCTTTTGTAACGTTTTGTAACCTGTTTAATAACGGTGTAACTCCTACATTAAACGCGTGGACACATGTAGTTGAAACATTCAGTATAGCAAACGGTTTGAAATTATATATAAACGGAACACTTTATTCAACAACATCTCCTATAACTCAATATCTAGCAAGTGGTTATCAAAATTATATGACAATAGCCAGTACGCTAACAGCATCCGTCAGCTCTTCGTTGTGCACCACATCAGCTGGATTAGTAGGATTCGGTTATTATAATGGATCCGTGGATGAACTAAAGATTTATAGTAGAGAATTGACAGCAGAAGATGTTTGTACACTTTCACGGGTCTGATGTGTTTCCCCAAATACACATTGCATAGCCTAAGTGCACTGGAAAAGAAGTGGGATTAATTATTCTAGTCAATGTTTTAGTAGTTAGGTTGGACAAGGCCTCTAAATACTTTTTTTGTATTTCTTTTATTACAAATGCGAACTCCAGTGGCTGTGAAAAGTTTTAATATACTCATCTCTTTGAAGAAAACAAAGTTTTACATAAACATTATTGCACAATCGCGATAGATTCTAGTAGCGCTACCAGTAATAAAGTACTAATTTTCCCCACTGTCACTTTCATTTTTCCTGGACAACAAGTTTTTTGTTGAGAAAAACATAACAATCCCTAAGCCTGTTGAGACGTAGAATACATAAAGCGGACTTGAAACAATTATTTTTATATATTATTCGATAGATCTGAACGGGATTTGACTAATGAGGCTGGTTTCAACCCATTTTACAAATATTTTATTAATCTGAAGTGATTGCGTTACTTTGATTTCATCTTCGTATAAATAAGATCATCTAACAAACATTCTGCCAAGGCGGAAATAGCGGATTCCTGGACTCCAGAAGTGTATTGGAGTCCCTTGGAGTCCCATGGGGTTCCATGGAGCCCTTTGGAGTCCTATGGAGTACCAACTGGTGAAGTAGAACTGGATATTGATTCACAAGAATTAGCTGGTTTAAGAAAAAAATATCATTTCGTTTAAAAGATGGTACAATTATTGTCAAAGCTGGTATTAAAAGTGGTTTTAAATATTTAAAAGAATTATTATTATCAAAACCGAAGAAGAAAAAAGAAAAAAAACAAAAATACAGCAAACAGTCAATTCAACATCATCAACAATAACAACAAACTCAATTAGAACACCAATATTAATGACAAAAGATGAGCGGAAAGAATTTATATAAAAAAAAATGGGCAAGACATAATAAAGAAAATTTAAATTTTGATGAACTTGAATTAAAACCAGACGTTGATTATTAAATTTAACAGATAATAATAATGTTATTGAAGCTATAATATCATGTAAGTATGGTGTTGAAATAAAATTAATAAAAAAAAAATGGTAAATAACAAATTAGTAATTTTTATAAACATCTAAAAAGTTTAACATGTTATATGATAAGAGAAAAACAAAGGAAAATAATCAACAAAAACAATTATCAAATAATAATAATACAATATTACCGACAACAAAATGAGGTTTAAAAGGTAATTCGTTGGCTTTAACAACAGCAAGTTCACAACAATCATCAGAAAAAGAAGTAGAAAATAATACTTTTAATCGAACCATTTTTCTCAATAATTTTAATCTTCAAGATTTTTTCGTTTTGTTTTATTTTTATATTCAGTTAGATTTACTTATACAATCTTTTTTATTTCAATTATATTTATGTATTTTTATTTTTATTTTATATTCGTGAAACTATGCTATATTTTATGGGTGAGTATCTTGGCACTCCCGGGAGTGTCAACAAGGAGCTATTGGCACTCTCGGGAGTGTTGACTAGAAGCTATTGGCACTCCGAGGGAGTGTCAACAAGGTCAACGTTGATTTGTAAACTTTGCAACCGCATAATTCCTAACACACAGCGTTTTCTTTGAAAAAAAACAGGTATCATTTTTCGGAAAACAGACTATACGTGCACTATTTGAACTTACGCCGGTGACACTGTTTTTTCATTTAACCATATCGCACTGGAGAGAAACTTGAAATAACTTATACTTCTCGCGAA